GTGGCATGCTGCCATTTTGATACTGAACATTATTAGTATTGGCGTAACCAGACAGGACAATATTTCTGTTTCATTAACGGTTTTTAGAAGATGTATCCCGAGAGGATGTCAGTCAAAGTGTTCCTCTTTTGATTGAATTGCAATGAATACCAAACCGTAATTTGATGTTGACAATTTTCAAACAAGAGAGTCAGTATCCTAGATTATAAGCTGGCTGTGTTCGCTCGATCAGTGGAATGTTGTTATGTAACCTCAGGTGAATTGTGGGTTTTGATGCTCCCTGCCCATGGCAGTTTTATGTTTCGCAGGAAACAGAGAAACAGACCAGTCTGTGCTGACATGGGAGTGTTTTTAGGCCCTATTGTCCCTGCTTTGCATGGGAAGGGCCTCTTTGATGTTGTTCAGTGCGGTAGCCACCAGCTACCTTATGATACCCTAATTCAAAATGTCAAATAAACCTACAATATCATGAACACCACAGGTGTGAGTTAGCATATAGTTCAGATTTGATCTAAGTGATAGGCTTTGTATGTGTTCCATCATAAAGCTCTTCAAATATTGGAATTCAGTTTTATCAATTTTGTCAGAAAATTAACCATTCTGGTCAGTATAAAAAACAGGATCAATATACAGAAGTTTAAAAAAATAGCTCAAATGGGTGGAATGTCAATATACAGAGGTTTGACATTGGTTAGAATTGGCAGAGTGTCAATATACAGAGGTTTGACATTGGTTAAAATGGGCAGAGTGTCAATATACAGAGGTTTGACATTGGTTAAAATGGGCAGAGTGTCAATATACAGAGGTTTGACATTGGTTAAAATGGACAGAGTGTCAATATACAGAGGTTTGACATTGGTTTCAGTGGGCAGAGTGTCAATATATAGAGAATTGACATTGGTTAAAATGGGTGGGATGTCAATATACAGAGGTTTGACATTGGTTAAAATGGACAGAGTGTCAATATACAGAGGTTTGACATTGGTTAAAATGGACAGAGTGTCAATATACAGAAGTTTGACATTGGTTAAAATGGGCAGAGTGTCAATATACAGAGGTTTGACATTGGTTAAAATGGGCAGAGTGTCAATATACAGAAGTTTGACATTGGTTAAAATGGGCAGAGTGTCAATATACAGAGGTTTGACATTGGTTAAAATGGACAGAGTGTCAATATACAGAAGTTTGACACTGGTTAAAATGGGCAGAGTGTCAATATACAGAGGTTTGACATTGGTTAAAATGGGTGGGATGTCAATATACAGAGGTTTGACATTGGTTAAAATGGGCAGAGTGTCAGTATACAGAGGTTTGACATTGGTTTCAGTGGGCAGAGTGTCAATATACAGAGGTTTGACATTGGTTAAAATGGGCAGAGTGTCAATATACAGAGGTTTGACATTGGTTAAAATGGGCAGAGTGTCAATATACAGAGGTTTGACATTGGTTAAAATGGGTGGAATGTCAATATACAGAGGTTTGAGATTGGTTAAAATGGGTGGAATGTCAATATACAGAGGTTTGAGATTGGTTAAAATGGGCAGAGTGTCAATATACAGAGGTATGACATTGGTTAAAATGGACAGAGTGTCAATATACAGAGGTTTGACACTGGTTAAAATGGGCAGAGTGTCAATATACAGAGGTTTGACATTGGTTAAAATGGGCAGAGTGTCAGTATACAGAGGTTTGACATTGGTTTCAGTGGGCAGAGTGTCAGTATACAGAGGTTTGACATTGGTTTCAGTGGGCAGAGTGTCAATATACAGAGGTTTGACATTGGTTAAAATGGGCAGAGTGTCAATATACAGAGGTTTGACATTGGTTAAAATGGGCAGAGTGTCAATATACAGAGGTTTGACATTGGTTAAAATGGGTGGGATGTCAATATACAGAGGTTTGACATTGGTTAAAATGGGTGGGATGTCAATATACAGAGGTTTGAGATTGGTTAAAATGGGCAGAGTGTCAATATACAGAGGTTTGACATTGGTTAAAATGGGCAGAGTGTCAATATACAGAAGTTTGACATTGGTTAAAATGGGTGGGATGTCAATATACAGAGGTTTGACATTGGTTAAAATGGGTGGGATGTCAATATACAGAGGTTTGACATTGGTTAAAATGGGCAGAGTGTCAATATACAGAGGTTTGACACTGGTTGAAATGGGCAGGGTAAAAATATACAGAGGTTAGGCATTGGTTAAAATGGGCAAAGTATCAATATACAGAGGTTTGACACTAACAGACTGAGTGCTGCATTGCCTGTATAAAATGTAAATAAGCTTGCTGACCTTAGAACCATTATACACTGCAGCATTCACTGCAGCAGGGCTGCAGACCAGCTGACGGCTTCCCTGATCATTTTGTCCTTGTATAGATAAGATCTTGTCTACATGAACAGCTAAAATTCAATTATCTCTACTGTGAATGTGATGGTATGATGACACCCAGACTGTGACAGTATGTGTGTAATGTTTGTTTTACAGCACAACCTTCCATCAGAACATTTATCAAAAGTTTGACGGTTTCAAATTTGAAAGAAAATATATTTTCAGTATCTCTTGATACAGTAATAATGGAGGAGTTGTCGCTGAAAATGTCTCAGATGTTTAACAACTTCAGGCGTTTAAGCAGAAATACAATGCATTGTATGGAGTTAAGTTTTTATTATATATGTTGTAGTTTACCAATTGTTTTACCCTGGAGTAACCGAGTCTGTTAAGCAGTAATCATCTGGACTTCAGATGCTGAAAATTATTAAGCCTCAAACATACAGCACAAACCATGATCATATTAAATAGAGATATTTTAAAGATGCTACTTATTTGCATATTCAAATGCTAAAATATTTCGTATAATTAAGATAAAATGTTTGAAATTTATTTCATGAGATTAAATTTCAGTAAGAGTTTTTCATTATTGGGATATTAAAACTTTTGATGAAGAAAAAATTGCTGCAAGTAAAAAAAAAACCTGTCTAAAGATTTTCAAATATGATAAGTCAAAATTAAGAAAATAATCTCGTAGAAATTGATTATAATGAAATTATTTAACTGGAAATAATTAATCAAAAGCTTAAGAAAACATCACACTAACATTTCATTGCCTCTTGCCATGTACATCAGTTAAATTGTATGATTTATAAATTATAAAGCACCATGTAATACCTCTCCTATCAAATGTCAACCTGATAGCATTGGCTTTATCTTTAGTTCTGCCTCTAGGAACTTGTCATTTACACCAATATATCTGTTTGACAGATGAAATAGATGTTCTCCCCAATTTTGCACACTAGCAATGTACTGCCCTATGGAGCAGTGTGAGATACATGGTGACACAGCTGTGATAGAGTATATATAAATTACACCCAATTTGGCACAATATGTTGTGACATTTATCAAATCTACTTTTCCTTCTTGTCCCATTCACAAAGCTTTGTCAGCCTGTACAAAGGTTTACTCAGCATTATTTTGCTATTTAAATACTGCCAAAAATGGAAATGGATTACCTATTTCAAAAGATATGTCAATATATAAGTCTTGATCTAAAGAATTCTTTCAAGGTAATCTAGTAAATGTGTAGGAAGTAGGTTAAGTTCATAATATGTCAGTATCTTGCAGGTCAGAAAAACTGTTCCAAGTCAAATGTTGAGGTTGATTTCATAGTTTGGTGACAAAATCATGATGTAGGTCCTTACTGAGTGGTCTGAGGTCAGAAAAAAATAATCATATCATGAAAGGTAGAGTGATTAAAACTAGATAAAAGAGCATAAATCATGATAGCAGCAGGTATGTGTGAGTTGTATGACATTTAAATGACACTTTCAAATGTTTAGTTCAAACAGAATCATTTTTGTATTCAGCAATTAATTGCAAAGGGAGATATATCCTATTTATGACTGAAAGTGATGTAAGGATGTGTTGTGTTATTAAAATGGTCCTAATTTGTCAATGCTCGAGCGGTTTTATTTCTGTTCTATATTTAGAAGTGGTTAAGTCAATACTACCGTAATCATATTTAGAAAATGATTGTCAGCACTTTGTGACCTCATTCATCAGAGGAATGTGATAAAATTTTGTGACTTCATTCATTAGAGGAATTTGATCAAATTTAAAGAGGAACCTGAATGCTGATTGGTTCGATTTTCAATGGATTTGTTGTTGTATAAGAACAGAAATGCCGAAAACTGCATCAAAATTCGACCATCTGTTTCCGAGATATATCCGCCTAAATGCGCCGATTCACACCTGCTTCGAGATGTTAATCACGCAAGCGATCAAATTACCTTGATTTACAATTATGAGAAAAGAAATGACATCTGATAGATAAGTTCATGTTTCAGCATTGTAAGATTGACAACACTTAGGTCACAGAGAATAGATTTGATCAAACTTGGTACATATGTCCATCTTTTACAGCACATTGGTCAAAGTTCAACTAATAATGGATTTTTATCATTAGAATACTTAGTTAGTATGGTAATTACTTTGAGTGTTTATTTCTGTAGAAGACACCTCTTCATCTTAGTCATCGTTTTAAATATATATAAAAAAAATTTCACAATATAAGTGATTTTTACTTATAAAGCATTATTAGATATAAGTGGTTATTACTTATAAAGTAAAAAGTCACATGACCACTTAGGAAGTAAGATCCTTGACCAGAAGTCCTATATTGACTTGTCTCTGACTGACATATATTAATCTTTACACATAAGATTTGAAAACTTTTTCCCTAAAGTTCTAATTCTGTTTCTTGTTTTTGATTTGAATATGATTCACATGTGGTAGATCTTTTCTATCAAATTAAGTTATAAGCTTGTCATGTTTTATCCTTTCAATATGCATCTTTACTGACCTGGATCAATGCCTTTTTTTCTACATTGTAACAAAAATCCCTAAAATGTGCTGTTATGGATTTGATATCAAACTTTCTGAAGAAAAATTGTGTTGTCATATAACAATGTCATATGACTTGTTAATTATTTCTATTCTCAGGTAAAGCCAACTTGAGGAAGAAGAAGACGCGTTTGGCCAGAATCAATAAGTTTGGAGACGACATGGTAGAATCAGACTCGGAAATCTCGTCAGATGACTATCAGATGGAAAAAGAAGAGGTGGGTCCTTCAGGAGGGGACGGAGAGAGAGAGGAGGAAGCAGAAGAGGAGGATGTGAATGAAATGGAGACAGAACTACTGGACTGCGTATAACAGGATACAACATTTATAATTACAATGTTGTTGTTAGTATTCCAGCCTGCAGGATAGAGATGTTTATTGATGACGTCGTGTAACATCTCAACTGGCAGGATAGATGTGTTAAGTGATGATGCGTGTAACATATAAGCCTACAAGGTCGATATGTTTATTGATGACGTCGTGTAACATCTCAGCTGGCAGGGTAGATGTGTTTAGTGATGATGACATGTAACATTTCAGCCTGAAGGGTCGATATGTTTATAGACGTCGTGTAACATCTCAGCTGGCAGGGTAGATGTGTTTAGTGATGACGTCGTGTAACATCTCAGCTGGCAGGGTAGATGTGTTTAGTGATGACGTCGTGTAACATCTCAGCTTGCAGGGTAGATGTGTTTAGTGATGACGTCGTGTAACATCTCAGCTGGTAGGGTAGATGTGTTTATTGATGACGGCCTGTAACATCTCAGCTTGCAGGGTAGATGTGTTTAGCGATGACATCATGCAATATCCCAGCTGGCAGGGTACATGTGTTTATTGATGACAATGTGTAATATCCAAGCCTGCAGGGTACATATGTTTATTGATGACATCATGTAACATACCAGCCTGCAGGGTAGAAGTGTTTAGTGATGAGGTCGTGTAAAATTTCAGCCTCCAGGGTAGATGCATGTTTTAATGATGATGATGTATTCTAATGAATGATTTGTGTATAACAAGTGCTAATAAATGTTAGAGATGTATGAACAATATCAGTGAGATATCAGAGTAACAGGAGTGTTGACAATTTGTGAGATGTGTGAACTAGTGAGCTTTCAGAGGAACAGGAGTATTGACAATTTGTGAGATGTGTGAACTAGTGAGCTTTCAGAGTAACAGGAGTGTTGACAATTTGTGAGATGTGTGAACTAGTGAGCTTTCAGAGGAACAGGAGTGTTGACAATTTGAGAGATGTGTGAACTAGTGAGTTTCCAGAGGACCAGGAGTATTGACAATTTGTGAGATGTGTGAACTAGTGAGCTTTCAGAGGAACAGGAGTGTTGACAATTGGTGAGATGTGTGAACTTTTTTAGTGAGCTATTAAAGGAAGTGATGAAAAAAGTACATGTACTTCTCGAATCTGGGAGAGATAATGAGCATTTCATTAGAGAAATGAAACCCTACCAGTTTAAATGATGTAGCATTTCCATGGCTAACAAATGTATTGGAAACAGAGATTCATATAGAAAATGTGGCTTCTTTTTTTGGGGTCAAAATCACAAAGATATCTAACCAGTATACAGGTAAGGTAGTGACGGATATCAATTTGACAAGCATGGCCAGTACACTATACATGTGTTACGGTGTGGAGGTCAGGGGAACCTGCCAATTCATAATTCAACCCATGCAGATCAAACATTTGTAAACTTCATATAATCACTCCCTTCTGTAAAATTCCTTATGGGAGAGATTGAGTCAGTGGGATGGTATGTATGTATATAATAGATTGTGTCTTTCACATTGAATATTACAGCTCATGGTCTGCTGAATAGTATTCAAATGTTTCATGTTGTGAGAGAAATTAAATGAAATCATTGAAAGTCCTGAACGAATAAAAATGAATGGATTAATAGTCGCAGTATTATTTATTTCCAACCAACTGTAAACGTTACGTGTTCAAAATTTTATACACCACATGCGTAAATTGAAAATGTGTATTCCTACTCAGCTGAATAGAACCAACAGAGATTTAAGGTATTAATACAGTGATGAAACCCTTCACACACCAGATTAATGCTATATTTTCTGTCTGATAAAACTGATGTTTTAGATCTAATTTTTAACCAGTCCGGAAAAATATTGAAACATTTTAAAAATTTTCTTTAAAAAATTAACCCAAAGATTTATTTATTACGTGTGTATTTTACTAAAATCTTTCTTGTCAATAGGTTAAGATAACCATCACTGAGGTGTCGAAACTAATCAACATCCTTGATGAAAGCTGATAAACCTAGCCAAACATTTCCATGATCATCTTTACCTAGTTCTGTTTGAATGGTCAGACTCTAGTATTGCTTGTGGAATCTGTCCGCTGGACATCACAGAACATTAGGTGAACGTTGGATCACTTTTACCTCGTAAAATCTTTCTTGGTTAAAGTCTGGCACTTTGTCTGCCCCGTCACATTTGTAGATTTAGATTGTATACATGTATATCCACCTCGGTTTGGGCTGTATTATAAAGGTATATAATTCAATAACATTTTGTTTACCTTTTCACTGTACATTTAATTACATATGACTGTTATTACAATAGAGTGACAGGTATCAAATCCCGTGTTAAATAACCTTCTGACTGTGAGGTACCTAGGACTACTTAATTGAACAAAACTTTGTAAGTTTTAAAGTAATTGGTAATTTATTCATGTAGATGAATCGATAGAAATTTGAATTGAAACCTACACAAAGTGAAATGATGGCTCTGTAGTTATTTGTATTGATAAAACTCGAAAATCTGCTACAAAAGTTCTTCTCTGGAACACAAATGTTTGTTAGAGTTTATTTCTTAGTTTTCTTGTAATCAGTTAAACAAACTCTCAAATGAAATGAAAAAATAATTCACAATTAGAATCGAACACAACTGTGTAACAAATACGCAACTGTGAACCTAGGATCCATTGATGTGGAACACTTTAAAAGTACTGTAACAACACAAACATCACTCTCCCATGAATAGGTACACATGCTCCCGGCAAGCAAAGCTTATGCATAATTAATTTGATTCAGAAGATAAGTGTATGTTATCTGCAAAATAACAAATTTGACATGCATGTTTGAGTATTTCCAATTATTATTAAATATTCCTTCACAGTTAAATACAGTGAAATACATATGAATAATGCATGATCAATATGTCCTTAAAAGCGAACGTTTATACACCATGGAATAAATACTGGTTAATTAACTTTCAGAGAATTTCCAGTAAAATATTTGCTCATGTCTCCAGAGAATGTGCAGTGTAGAATCTACTCATGCCTCCAGAGAATGTGCAGTGTAGAATCTACTCATGCCTCCAGAGAATGTGCAGTGAAGAATTCACTCATGCCTCCAGAGAATGTGCAGTGAAGAATTCACTCATTCCTCCAGAGAAAGTGCAGTGTAGAATTCACTCATTCCTCCAGAGAATGTGCAGTGAAGAATTCACTCATTCCTCCAGAGAATGTGCAGTGAAGAATTCACTCATGTCTCCAGAGAATGTGCAGTGAAGAGTTCACTCATGCCTCCAGAGAATGTGCAGTGAAGAATTCACTCATGTCTCCAGAGTATGTGCAGTGAAGAATTCACTCATGCCTCCAGAGAATGTGCAGTGAAGAATTCACTCATGTCTCCAGAGAATGTGCAGTGAAGAATTCACTCATTCCTCAAGAGAAAGTGCAGTGTAGAATTCACTCATGTCTCCAGAGAATGTGCAGTGAAGAATTAACTCATGCCTCCAGAGAATGTGCAGTGAAGAATTCACTGACCACCAGAGAATGTGCAGTGAGGGATTTGTAACTTGCATAAGAAAAAGGAGATTAATGAAAAGAACTTGTGTATCCGTGAGCTCGTAGATATATGACATATTGATGATTTCTCTGTTACCTTCATCAGACAAATGACAAGTGTGAAGCATATATACACAGGGGTATACAGGGCAATAGATAGTGATAAAATCACAGGACTTTTCGACTAAAGTTGAAAGTAGTATGACGAGATTGCGATAAGATAATGCAGGTGAAAACAGAACGAATCGGTGATAAATCAGATGAATTATTGTAACGATATTATATTCCATTAATGTGAATTAAAGTGCGCTTTGTTCAAATAAGACCTGGTCGTACATACAGATGTGCGTTAATGTATGCGTCCTTCACACCTGTTGAATAACTACCCGCTGCGGTATATCCAAATTAGTGCCTTGACCTGTCACTTAAAGATATTGTTTTACCGATCTGCTACTTTGGAACTTAATGATAAATTTGCTGTGCGATATGGTCTGTTTGTGCTCGTTGATCTGTGATTCTCATTGATGCCGCTCCGATCAGTTGAATTGTCTACCAACTTGAATTGCAATGTCTTTCTGGTGTTCCCGGAATCGGGCCAAACTCTCTCCCCAGTCTCTCTGAAATGATGCATCATAGTTCCTGCATCCGATCTTGTACACGTGTATCATGACGTTCTCTTTAGGGTTTTAAGACTTAAGATAAACTAGGATGTAATGAAGCGTCTTGTGGGATTTCGTAAGTTTTGGTGGCGGTATCTTCTGTGAATGGTTTCTGATTTCATGAAGGGGATGAAAACTTGAGCATTCAAGACCTTGATCTCGACAGGTCTTCTCTATGTCTTACACTTTCATTTTCCCAACTAGGGTGTTTTCATGGATATATATTTTGTTATTGTGACCTTTGACATTCACACCTTTTGAGAAAGTTCATTTCTGGTGAAGGGGATTCCGAAAGCTGACGTGGAGTCAATGATCTGCTGTTGAGACCAATACTTTGATTGTACCGTTAAGTTTCCATACAAATTGAGGAGAGACAGAGTGTGTTTGCATTCTTTCTCCTGAGTGAATTTTATGTCGGTTGTATCCTCTGTATTGTTATGAATAGTCCAGTATTTCTGTGACCCTTTCTTGACCTCTTCAAATATGTCAACATGTCGTTTCATCACGTTAGGCTTGCACTCTTTCTAATGCCAACAAGACGGAAATGTTTCGAGAAGACCAATAGATTTAAGCACTTTTTGCATTCGTAAATGTTTAAAAAGTGAGCTAGCTTGAGACTGATCATACAAGATTCAGATGACAGATGTGAAATTTACCGAATAACCAGACAGCAACGTGAAGAGATGAATATGTCAAGGAAAAAACAAGAGTTGACATGAACACAGAAGAAAATTTGGGCAAATTTATTATCGTGTCTCAGCACAACGAAACAATTGAATAGCTTCCAAAAGATGTCTACACAGAATGGCCACCGATTGGTGTCTTGTCTAAAAGTAACTGAATGAAAAAGAAGATCTTTGTTCCATACTGCAGCCTGGGTCGCATTGTGGAACAAGGTGATAAGATTGGTTGCAGTGGTTCAAGTTATTTGCTAAACATCCTTGTTTTACTTGTCGTGGAATCTTTATGGAAAAGGCCACGTCAAGAGCTCTTAAGTTGTGACAGCATGGCAACTGTCTCGATCCTGAAGAAGTTCTTCGAAACATCGTCGTCTCTCATTTCCAATATACCAATAATTCTGACAACACATTTATAGATAACGTCTATCAAGATCCATGTCTCCAACGGTGGCCAGTTCAAATTCACTGACCAACAAGAAACCACAACGACTACTGCCTTAGAGACATGGACGTTTAAAAGTCTACTCCAAGGACCGAAACACAATACCGTTATCTAATGGTAATATTGGAAGGTGACTTGTGTCCAGGACATCATGATCACCTCTTATCAGATTTCAAGTTAGTAATCACATATCACATGTAACATTAGTTGTGTTTATAATGACAAACATGGCTGCTTTATAGTGGGAATCGCTGGCTAACAGAGAATAGGCTATTTTATAAAGAGAATTGGCTGTTTTATAAAGAGAATAGGCTGTTTTATAGAGAGAATTGGCTGTTTTATAGGGAGAATTGGCTGGTTTACAGAGAGAACTGGCTGGTTTATAGAGATAACTGGCTGGTTTATAGAGAGAACTGGCTGGTTTATAGAGACAGAAATGGCTGGTTTATAGAGATAACTGGCTGGTTTATAGAGAGAACTGGCTGGTTTATAGAGATAACTGGCTGGTTTATAGAGAGAACTGACTGGTTTATAGAGACAGAAATGGCTGCATATAGTGGGAATATGCTGGTTAACAGAGAGAGAACGTGCTGCTTTATAGAAGGAACTGGCTGGTTTATTAAGAGAGAAATGACTGTTTTATAAAGAAAATTGGCTTGTTTATAGAGATAGAAATGGCTGATTTATAGAGAGAATTGGCTGGTTTATAGAGAGAATTGGCTGATTTATAGAGAGAATGGGCTGGTTTATAGAGACATAAATGGCTGCTTTATAGTGAGAATTTACTTGTATATTTAGTTCGTTTGAAAAAACCTCGGGATACATATAAGATTACGCTGCAAGCATGTAGCAACAAATACGTTGCACATCATATTATTGCTTGTTGTGTTCGCCTCGCCTAAGCATTCGGGAGCGAAATGTTAAAATTACACCACAACGTTAACAACCTGACATTTATGATAATGATTTGTCATAAGCAAACCTTAGTTATTGTAATAAACCTCAATAATAACTCATCAGGATTCGCAGCAGCGACAGAATGGAATGATGCAAAATAAGAATTTATGTTGGTATTTTGTAGATGTTTTGCGAACAGTTGAAATAGTTCCGAAACATTCTATTGTCGCAAACACAAACGCACTGCAGAACATGAATAATAGATAGAAAGAAGACAAGGTAGCTAGTGGCTGTATTGGTTGACGTTCAGAAGAATTTGCAGAACCAGAATTTAACATGTCCAGGCGCACCAATAGCGCAGATTAAACTGTGTCGAATTGTT